ATATATATATATATATATATATATATATATATATAGTAATATATTGTAAGTGTCTTTGTTTGTGTTGCTGTTGTTATTATTTACTGCTTTTACTTTTACTGCTATTATTGTTAGTGCTGTTATTAATATAAAAAATAAATATTTTTTATTATAAATATAAAAAAAAAGAAATTGTATTTATAATATAAATATAAATAAAAATAAAAATAAAAATAATTTTTGTTTTTTTCTTTATTATTAATATCTTTATTAACAATATAAAAATAATATTATTATTTATATTAATATTAATTTTATTAGTATTTGTGTTTATACTATAAACATTAATTTATATATTATTAATATAAATATAAATATAAATATATACTCATATACATATTATTCATATTAAAACTTATATTCACAGCAATATATATATTTACAGTAATATTTATATTAATATTTATATTTATATTTATATTTATTATAATATTTATATTATTAATATTAGTAGTAATAAAAGTTTTATTGTTATTTATATTAATAGCGACAGAAATGGATGTGCAGCAGCAGCAGCAGCAGCAGCAGCAGCAGCAGCAGCAGCAGCCTAGGGGCAGTAAAATAGAGAAAAACGGCTTATAATACCTCAAAATAACGCAAATTTTCCATTAAAAACGTTTATTTTGTATTTTAATTTATATTTTTGCGTTTAAAACAATTAAAATGGGTTTCTTTAACCGACGATCAGCTCCAATAACACAGGGTGGTAGAGGAGAGGCCCCCCACCTGTTGCTGCTGGGGTGTACATACACCCCATCTCTTACTCGATCAAATTAACTTTATTTATTGCATTAAATTCCTTTATTTTTATTTCTTTTTATCCCAATCTTCTCCTTCTTCGCCTCCTTCTCTCTCTCTCTGCTGCGGCTGGCTCTGGGGGGCCCCCCTCAGTCGGCCCCCCTACAAACCCGCGGTACCTGGGGGCCCCCCTTTTCCCTCTTTTCATCCTTTTCATCTCCTTTTGTTGTTTTTTATAATTTAAAATCTTAAAATTTCTTAAATTTGCTCAACGCTGACCCCTGGGGCCCCCCCGCTACCGCCAGACATAAAGGGGGGCCCGGGGGCCCCCATACAACACCAGGGGCCCCCCAGCAGCA